ACTCTCCCCGACTCTCCCCTCCCTCCCCCCGACTCTCCCCCCCCTCCCCCCGAGACTCTCCCCAACTCTCCCTCACCCTACCTCCCCCCGAGACTCTCCCCGACTCTCCCCTCCCTCCCCCCGAGACTCTCCCCGACTCTCCCCGACTCTCCCCTCCCTCCCCCCGAGACTCTCCCCGTCTCTCCCCCGCCCCCCCCGAGACTCTCCCCGTCTCTCCCCCCCCCCCCCCCCCCGAGACTCTCCCCGTCTCTCCCCCCCCCTCCCCCCGAGACCCTCCCCGACTCTCCCCTCCCTCCCCCCGAGACTCTCCCCTCCCTCCCCCCCGACTCTCCCCTCCCTCCCCCCCGACTCTCCCCCCCCCCTCCCCCCGACTCTCCCCCCCCCTCCCCCCCGACTCTCCCCCCCCCTCCCCCCGAGACTCTCCCCGTCTCTCACCGTCGCTATGGAACGAGTCGAGACTCCGCACCAGGCCCAGCAACCGCTCCGCTCTCCGCGCCGCCATGCCTCAAGCGATTCCGCTGCTGTGTCGCGCAGCGATTCCCATCTTGGCGATTCCCTTCTTGCTCGTGCTGAACTACCTGTCGAATTGCGTATCGTCACCTGAATGTACTCGTTCTTTTGTATCGATTCGTGTCTCGATTTTACTCTCCTGCCCTGCGGAGTCACGTGGCGCCGGTGTCGCTGCTTAACATGAATCGCGTTTCAATCCAGAATCGAAATCTTTATTAAATTAAGTATCGATTTTACTCTCCGGCCCTGCGGAGTCACGTGGCGCCGGTGTCGCTGCTTGAGAATAATCGCGGTTCGATCCAGAATCGAAAGCTTTATTTAAGCCAAACCCGATGAGCTATAAAGCTCTTAATGTTACAGATGTCCAGCAGGGGCACGGGGTCAGAACGTTACAACAACAACACAATACAACAACACGATAGAAGGGCATTGTACAGCAAAAACAAACCAAAACACCAAAACACGTACAAACTCAACCGTTAAACAAAGTAAGAATATGTTTTACCCTGCTTGGCAATAAAAACAGTTTTTAAGATGCTCAAACACCAAATATAAACCTTTTGCAAGGACTTAAATACTGCATTAACCACACAGTACCTGTGGTGAACATTAAAACAAACATGCAGCTATATGGCTTTAGGATTTGGTGTTACATGTTATTTATGTAGTTTATTGTAAAAAATTCGGTCACATTCCCTGTGATCACTGTTACGTTGCAATTATGGCTTTATTTTTTGGTGATTTGGAAACGTTTTTTTGGTTTGGACATGTTTGTTTTGTTGTAGTACGGAGTTAGACTGATGGCCTTAATCTAAGTTTTCTTGTGGTTGTTGTTTGACTTGCATCCCACTGGGATTTTTTGCACACAGCGTTGGTGTACGGTGCTATTTCAGGAATATTTTGATGTTTTTTCCTGGATTTTCTGTTTGCACATGCACATAGTCACTTTAAGATGTTTTCTTGTTCGTGGGTTTTTTTGTTTGTTGTGGTTGCACCCGATTCAAGAGCCGAATGGCTTACAGGGCTATACCAAATAATTAACTAGCTTTACTACCCGAATTCTTTGTCCCCCCCAGTGGCGATGTTCACACACCATAGCAGTTACTCGTTTGAGGCTGAGTCGACCTAGGAGTGGCCCAGGAGCGGTTGAAATAATCGTCAACGGTGGTGGCCGTGAGCGGAAATCGAACTCGGGACGCCGGGTTCGTAGCGCGGCGCGCTAACCACTACACTACCTCTCCCCCCACACACTGAGACACACATAGACATATCAACAACAAGCGCCATTCGCCACTAAGTGGCGGTGACGTCACCACGGCACTTGTGCCAGGCCATGTGCACCTTGAGGCCACGTGAAGTGTCGAATGCCCGCTGGCAGGTCACGGGGCAGACCCAGGTGCCACGGGTCGACTGACTGAGATGACTGAGATGACTGGCTGATGCACCACCTCTGCCCAATACTGTGCCAACCTGCTGTGCTTTAGCCACCCGGCGCTCCGCTCGTTGTTGTGAGCGTCGCTCCTCCGCCCTCGGTTGTTGGAGGGCGACTGCCTCCAACTGCCCAGTAGCAGCAGTAGTGTCCTTCACGAGTCTCCTCCACAGAGGCCAATCTGGACACCTGGTACCAGCCTGGTTAAACCCAGGATGGATCGTAGGCAGGCTAGCCTAAATGTTTCTAACCGGCGAAGATGTTCCATTAGGGGGGTCCACGTTTCGCAAGCGTAGAGAAGGGAGGGAATGACCGTGGCCGAGAAGACCTGAAGCTTAGTGCGGAGCGACAGACCAGGTAGCTTCCACACAGCGTTACGCAACCGATGAAAAGATATTGCCGCTCGACTGATTCGGAGTGAGACCTCTGCTGTTAAACTGGAGCCAGTCATAAGCACACTGCCCAGGTATGGGAAACTCTCCACAACTGCCCCATCACCGATTGGGAGTTGTGAGGGTGGAGTGTCCGATGGTACAAAATACCCAGGCAGGTGTTTAGTTTTGGTGGGGCTGATAGTAAGGCCACATCTGTTAGTGGCACGCTCCAGTCTCAGCAGCAGCGTCTTCAACTCCTCCTATGAAAGAGCAACTCTTACCAAATCATCGGCATACATAACGTGGTTGAGCAATAGGGAGCCATCCCTTGACCGTACCGGGGCATCAATCAGCCTCCCATTATATTTGTACCAAATGGAGATTCCCCCGGTACAGCTATTGAAGGCTTCACAAACTACGTGGTCAAAATAGATGTTAAATAATGTGGGAGCTAGAGGACATCCCTGTCGCACCCCAAGCTGAACAGGGAATGCCTCTGACTCCCGGCCACGTAGTTTTACCCGGGCCCGCTGACCATCATGAAGGTCCTTAATGATCGTGAGCAGAGGGTCAGGGACTCCAAAAGCACGAAGAACAACCCAGAGCCCAGGCCTACTGATGGTATCATAGGCCTTGACCAGGTCAATAAAGCAGAGATGTAGGTCTTGTTGGAATTCCCTACACCTCTGCTGTAGCAGACGGACAGAAAATATGGCATCTGTGCAGGACCGCCCTTTCCTGAAACCACATTGGGGCTCCGCAAGCCTCTCCTCAGTGTGCCTGGCAAGGCGATGTTGAATAATCCTTGCCAAGGACCTTTCCCGGCACACTGAGGAGTGAGATGCCCCTTTAGTTGTTACAGTCTGTGCGGTCCCCCACTTTAAGAAGGGGGACCACCAGGGCATCCTTCCAATCCTGCGGAACCCGTCCAGTGGTCCAGACTGTTGTTATGATGTCATATAGGGCAGTCTGTGCACAAACGCCACCCTCCCTCAGCATTTCGCTTGGGAGACCATCTCTGCCCGGTGCCTTTCCTGGTCTCAGACTCCGGATCGCCTTCAGTACTTCCTCAACAGATGGCACCTCAGCCAGCCACTCACAGGGGGTGACTTCTTCCAATATTTGAGGCGCCGCAGCCTCAGCAGGGTCATCCCTACTTTGTGCCACGATGTTTTCCTGGCTGAGGGGTTTCCCCTCCCCCAGGACCTCACAGAAATGCTCGGAAAATCTGCAAACCTGTTCCTGGGGGTCGGAGATTGGAACACCGTTTTTTCCCCTAATGATGATAATAGGTGTGGCGCTGCAGGTTACTTTTTTGATGGAGTTAAATAGAGATTTGTGATCGCGGGCCACTGAGTCAGACTCCATCTCCTCACCAACCCGCGACCACCACCCATCCTTGCAGTGCCTCACGGCTCTCCGAACCTCTGAGCGAAGGCTGCGGTAAGCCTCCTCATTCTCTGACGTGGGATTCTCTAGCCGATGACAGTGGGCCTGTCGCTTTTTTTCAACTATCGTGAACACCTCCTCTGTCAGCCAGGGTCTCTGGGGAGGTCTGGACCGCATACCCAAAGCAGCCATTGCAGCTGCATGAGTCACAGTCCTTAACCTCGCCCATTTACCCTCGATGGTCAGAGGGCAGATCAGCTCCACGGTAGGTCCTGGTGTCAAGGACATGGGCTCCCATCCGCTGGTCCGTCACTATGTAGTCCAGCAGATGTTCTTGCTTGGACCCGGCATGCATCCATGATGTTGTGTGGATGCGCCGATGCCGGAACAGCGTGTTGATAATTACAAGCCCATGGGCTGCACACGAATCTAGCAGCCTCCTACCGTTGTTATTGAGCTGATCTGGCCCATGCCCTCCAATCACTCCAGACCAGGTGCCAGCATCGTGACCAACTCGGGCATTGAAGTCACCCAACAAGATGACTCTATCCCGAGGGGCCACTTTAGCCAGCACCTGTGACAGGAGGTCATAGAAGGCATCTGACTCATCGGCTTTGCCTGTATCCCTCCACGGACGTTCGTCTTCGGTGGGGGCATAAGTAACCACGACCATCACTCCTCACCTCCGGTCGATGGGAAGGCGAGCCCAAAGTAGCATGGGGCTTACAGCTTCCCACACCTCACCGCCACGCTCCCACGCACCCTTCATTCTTTTGTTCAAAAGAAGAGCCACACCCTGTTGTTTGGCAGTCTGCTGCCCCGAGTAGAGGACTGTCCACCCCTCATGGTAGCAGGTGCCAGAACTGGTCCACCGGACCTCCTGAATGCCACAGAGATCCAGTACCGGTCCAGCTCCCGACAGAGGAGTGGCAGCCTCTCCTCCGTAGTGAGCGTTTGAACATTCCACGTGGCCACACGAAGTGGCTTTTCGTTGTTTCTGGAGGAGCCCCGAGGGTAGAGATTCAATCTCCTGGCTCCGCCAATTAGGATTTGGCCAGGAGACGTCATAGACGCCTGTCCCCCCGGGGCCTCCGGCACAAGCTTATTCGTTAGATATTTAAGGCGTGGTTTCGTGGTAATTTTTTGAAGGTGGAGGGGTTACCAGCCCCTCGCACCCGTCCAGAGCCCCCGTTTAGCCACTGTGGTTGTCACAGACGCCATGAGGGGAGAGGGCCAATCGGAATTGACCCTCTCCCCACAGCACTGTCCACGACAGAGTTGCCCGTCCGGCACCGCAAGGAGGTGTGTGACGTCATTTATGGACGGGCCCCCTTATTTTAGAAACGGAATCAACTCTCTAGATTTGAAGTTTTCGTGACTGCAGGGATCCATACACTTTAGTTCTTACGGTAAAGTCACGTGGGTACAAAATAAACCCTCAGAGCGGGGGCACACAAAGCCCATACGGAATCGCAGAACGCATTCGGCGTGCCATCGATTCCTACCGCCCTCGCTCGTTACCGTAGTGACAGCTAAACAAAGCTGCCTGCACAAACGCTGCGTGCGGCCGTGTGTGCGGATGTGGTGGGTGTCACTGGTAGTGGCCTCGAGGCAATAACCACTTGAGCTAATTCACTCAGCGAAAATCCGTCCACGTCTGGGTGGTTTAATTAGCCGGGCCAAGGAAGACCAATTTATTCAAAACTATTCCGAAAGCCGTCTACATCCGAACGAGAATAGGGGCGGGGCCAGCGGGTGTGGAGGGGCGGGGCATCTTTGGAGAGTCGGGGCTAGACCGAGCTCGGGGAGGGGGGCGGGACCTACAGCGAAGCGTTGATGTCATTGGCGGTGACCTCGGCGGGGGCGGAGCCGGCGAGTGTCCGCACGGGCCAATGGGAGCACGAGCCGCTGTCCAAGGTACCGACGCATGCGCAGAGAGCGGAGTTCAACCGACGTCGTAAACTTGCAAGGGACGACGATGTAATAGACGACGTTTCGGGCAACAGTCCTTCTTTAGAGGACATAAATGCTGCTGGTCCGTCATGGTCCCCACCCGCTCTTGGTCCATCATGGCCCATACACCTCCTACGTATATCGTGCTCATTTCTATACTAATTCCTTTGTCAAAGTGTTTTGCTTCCTCCCACACAGCTTAAAGGACGTGACCTGGGCTTGGCTGTTTTCACTCCAACGCTGTCCTCATGACAGCACGGTCCCTTCACCTGATGAAGGCCACTTGTGTTGTGGCCGAAACGTCGTGAATTTTTTATTTTTATTCTTGTTGTTTTTTACGTGACTTTACCGAATAGAACCAAAGAGTATAAGGTCCATTGTAATTTATGCATAACGTATGTATGTTGGAATTATTTCGCACACCGTACGTAGTCAACCGTGCTCATCGGATGTGCGGGGGTGGAAGGACAACAAACTAAACACAAAAAGATAAATTAAACAAATGCTCGCGCGTGTTTAATTTCATCATTAAAAGCAACACTGCTAAGAGATACCGTGTGGCACGTAGTGACGTACTAGCCACGTGTTTGCTGGGTTAGGCCGCGCGGTGGTTTTATGCCAAAATCCGTGTCGCTAACCCTCCTCCGCCCGCCAAGATCGCAACGCTTACACAGACATCAGTAATACGTGACCCATGTACCGATCAATTTCTGATCGACGAAGCCCCTCCTCCTGCTCCTCCGCACCGGTGGCCAAGGACATTTCCACGGCTGAATTTCCACATCGGCGCTCGACGACGTTTCGCCCCAAAACGGCCGCGAGGTACGGTCAAGGTAATGAATTCGGACATTTCGGGCGCGTGCCGTCCCGTGGACAGCTGCCGTTCAAGGTCCTGCGGGGTCATGCGGGGGGCATCAACTGCTGCCACTTCGGCTTCGGAGACTCGCGCGCAGTCACCTGCTCGGAAGATCGCACGGCGAAGATCTGGGTGAGCGGGCGTTCGGAACCTGAGCAGTGCACAAACCAGTCGCCTCCCCCGCCCCCTTGTCGCTAAATGTTGGTCATGTGGACTTGTGGTGGATGGCGGAGTCCGTTGACGTCAACCAGAATGGATCATCACAGTGCTTGGTGTATTGGCCACCGCTGTTGTAGACTGTCGAGTTCGTTTGTTTCGCCAGGTTAGATTTGAAAACCCATTTCTTTAGAACTGCTTGTTGTGATTAATTTGTCGTGATTAGTTTGATGTCCTTCCGACGCACCTTCTATTAGCACGGTTGGCTGCGTACGGTGCGAAAGGAGTTCAACAAACGTACGTACAGGCTCAGGATGAGTCTCACTTGCAAGAGTGACCCAGACTATAATGCAATGCAAGGTCCATGCTCTGTCTTCACGAATCCTCGCTGATTAGCCTGGTGAAGTATGGTCAAATAATCCTCAGGACTCACACGACAGTAGCGGGGGGAGGGGGGGGGGGGGTTACTGTACTGTGGAAATTCCTTTCTGGCTTCATGATAATCTCTTTGCTGCAGGACACTGAGACTGGGAGAATCCTCAAGAGCTTTGATGACGCCCACCAGAATAACATTCCCGAGTGCTCTGTCAACTCTACAGGGGGCAGGTAATTGTCCTACGCTAAGCGTCGAGTCAGCGGCTGCAGGGGACCCTGGCTTCGTGGGTCGTGGACAGCAGGTACAGCGGCGGACAGTCGTTCCTGGCCCTATGGGAGCAGATATCAATACTGACAATTATTATTACTTCATATGTTCACTACATACAAAGGGCGCCACGGTTGTGAGATATTAACAATCTCGCCTGGTATACAAGAGATCGTGGGTTCGATCCCAACACTGACACCTGCTGTATATTTGAAGTTTTCGTGTTCTCCCCGTGATTACGTGGATTTTTTTCCCGGGTCCTCCGGGTTTTCCCTCTCAATTTAGAAACGGGCTTTAAGATAATTTGGCTACCGTAAATTTCCACATGGTAAGCCACTTCGTTGGGCTCTCATTTTTGGCCAAGTCGCTTCTGAAAAAGAGTTAACACAGCTCAGTGGGCCTTGCCTGGTAAAATACAAATATTTTAGTTTAATGTTGAACTTCTTTCACACCATTGTAGCCAAATAGGAAAGCCAATACTGAGTCCGAATAAATCTTGATTTAAAGCTTTCGTGACTGCAGGAATTCATATTATTTGGGTCTTTCAGAAAAGTCACGTAGAACAATTTTTTTTTTAGAAAAGACTACGACGTTTCGATCGCAACACAAGCAATCGTCATCAGAAGAAAAATGAGGGGGAAAGCTGCTGACGCAGGATGTTTTAAAGGTTTGAAATCGGTGTAGCCCAAGGGTCATAAACGAAGTGGGCGGGGCTAGTGATGTTAAAGTGAGAAATGTGTTAAAGTGAGAAATTGGTTCTACGTGACTTTACCGAAAGACCCAAAGAATATACTTTTTTTCTGGAGGGTCCTGCATTTGCGTGTTTGGCCAAAACCAGTTACATTGTAAATGTTTTTTTTTTAACTATGGGGAGAAGTTCCGATAACCCAGAGGAGAATATATAAAAGTCCACACGCAGAAAGGCGCCTCCGAGTAGGGAATCAAACCCAGGACTCTTCTTGCTGCAACGCGCGAGTGTCAAAACTGGCGGCAGCGGCTTTGGCCACGATGCCCTCTTGATCTTGGAGTGACCTCCAGGCCACCGGTTGGTTTGTCTTTTCTCGGCAGGCTTTTGACAGTGTCATGGGATAAGGCCATGAAACTCTGGGATTTGGAAACGGGGAAGCTTCTGGTGAGTGTTTATCGTTGAGTGTCTGCGTGTACAATGATTAGCGTTAATTCCACTAGCACAAACTCCAGTGGTGGCCCAGAAGCAGCTTGTGAATCCCACGATCCCAAAAGTGAGAATGTTCACGTGGTCAAACAACTCCCATGACCAACACGGTTCGGGTGGCCCTTCACCCAGCAGTGAAGGACTGACAATGGACTGTTTTATTATTATTATTATTAATATATTATTAATATATTGGAGACTACTTTCTCAAAGTTACCCGAAAGGGATTACACACACACACACAGCAGGAATCATCGCCCCATATTGGCAGACTCATGTCCCAGGATATTCTTGCAAATGAGACTCTATCCTGGTCTCCTGGTCCCTTGAGTTCTCAAACAAAATTAAACAAAACCAACTTGACATTTGAACTTTGAACCTGAAGGGAGGGAAGGGTATGCAGTGGTTACCACTGAGCCCAACAACCTTAGTTCGATTCCTAGCCACAGCGAACACCAGATGCTGAGTGATGTCTGAACCACCAGTCTAGACACCCAGATTCGAACCTAGAATCTCAGCTGTGCCGTGCCCAGCACCTCTGTCCTCTGACCCGGCGATAACGGATACTAGGGCGCCATGATGGCGAGATGTTAACTACCTCGCCTGGTATACAGCAGGTCGTGGGTTCGCCTGGTATACCCTGACGCCTGTATATTTGGAGTTTGCATGTTCTCCCCGTGGTTGCGTGTATTTTCTCCGGTCCCTCCGGTTTCTCTCTCCACATTTAGAATCAAGCGTTTAGAGTATTTTGCTGCTATACATTTCCACGCGATAAGCCACTTCGTTGAGCTATCAAATGTGATGGCCAGGTCGCTTCTGGAAAAGAGCAACATAGCTCAGTGGGCCTTACCTGGTAAAATACAGAATAGTTGAGGCTGTACGCCTTTTGGCGTCCTCTGGTCGAACACCGTTTGAGACGAGGCTCAAAAGAAAGCTGTCTCTGGTGTGGACCAATCAGTTTCAAGGACAATGCATGTATTATCAGAGTATGTTTTTTGTTTGCATTCTGACCACAAGCATTGTGGTTAATGTAGACATGATTCCTTGTAAAAGGTTTCAGTTTGGTGTTTTAACATCTTAACACAGCTGTTTTGTTGCCAGATAAAAGGGGAAAACTTCTTATCGGTTAAGTTCACAGTTTATTCTTTGGTTCTTTCGGTAAAGTCACGTAGAAAGAAAATAAATTAAATAACTGAACACGACGTTTCGATTGCAACACAAGAACCCGTCATCAGGTAACAATGAATGAGAAAACAAAACCTATTAAACTTAGAAATATAATGCAATACAACACAGAGAGTCGGCTAACGCAACAGTCAACACCCTATCTGGTTGATTACGTTCTTGCAAAGATTGCTAAATTTGAGAGCGAGACAAAAACACAGACACTGAGACACACAGACAGACACACAAGCAGAGAGAGAGGCACACATAGATATACAGAGAGAGACACATAACATAGACACACAGACACACAAGCAAAGAGAGAGAGAGGCTCACACAGAGACACACAGAGAGATACACAACATAGACACACAGACAGACACACAAGCAGAGAGAGACACACACACACAGAGACACACAGAGAGAGACACACACACATAGGCACACAGAGAAACAACGCCTATGTGTCGAGGCCTTAAATAGAGAGGGGGTGGGTTGGTTTGTTGTCTTTCCCCGGCACCTCCGATCAGCACGGTTGGCTACGTACGGTGCCAAAGAAGTTCAACGCACATGCATCCAGTACACACAACAACACAACAACCGCCATTCGCCACTAAGTGGCGGTGACGTCACCGCGACGCTTGTGCCAGGCTATGTGCACCTTGAGGCCTCGCGCACACACACACACAGGGACCTGTGACCGTGCGCTGCAGATGTGCGAGACTCACGCGTGGCCGCTGACGTGCTGCGATGCGTCTCGCGACGGGCGTCTGCTGGCCACGGGCACAGCCATGGACCGTTCCCTCCGCCTGTGGGACGTGAACAGCGGCTCGCTCGTGGTGCAGCGCAACGGTGCGATTATTATTTCTACTGCGACTTATTATTATTATCCGTGATCAAGGGGGGGGGGGGGGGGTGGGGGGGGGCAAATTGCGGCTCCCGAATCGCGTGCGGCTCTTGAAGGGCTGGCTTGGCGAGAGTTATTCGCAGGCATTGCGGCTTTTTGATATATTGAGTGGTTTTTGTTGTTTTTGTTGTTGTTGTGCCGAATTAGAAAGAAACAAATTCCTCTTCTTGTTGTTTTGGGTTTGCCGACAGCGCTGATCGCGACGCTCGTTCGCCCCGGGAAAGCCTCGCCGAGTCTCAAGACTTTAAGAGTTTACGCAGTGAGGGCGGGGGGGGGGTGGGCAGTGTTGCTGCTGCTGTACGTACGTACGTTGTATGTTAACGGACGTTTAAAAACAGCAAGCAGCAGCAGCAGCAGCTCACATTTATGTTGAACCTTTTTGCACACCGTACGTAGCCAACCGCGCTAATCGGAGGTGCGCTGTGCGCGATCCCAATCGAGCGGTTTTGCGGGGTAACTTTTCAGCATCCGGATGTTGTTTGGCCAATTCCGGTTACAATTCATGTTTTTTTTTATTTTTCGTGAGCCATGGGAGGAAGTTGGATAACCAAAAGGAAAACCCCCCCACACGCGGAACGTACAAACCCCACGCGCAGAAAGGGGGCCCGAGTCGCTTAATCGAACCCGGTCCCTTGCTGCCGCAAGGGGCGAGTGCCAACCACCGCACGCCACCACCCTGCCTCCTTGAGCACTTCACACGTGCGAAGGGATTGTGCATTTTGCGTTGTCCACAGATCACCACGAGGGAGCGCTCACAGGATGCAGGTTTGATTGCGGTGCTCAGCGAGTCGTGACCTCGTCGTGCGACCGAAGCTTCAAGGTGTGGGACCTTGCGACACGCGTGGCTACGCTCAGCGTGGCTGGGTACGTGGGGTAATACTATCACTAACGACGACGATGATGATGCTGATGATCATCATCAGCATCGATCATTATTGAGTGCACGTGGTATGGGCGCTATCGCTCGCATGGCGCAGGGCGATCATCGCTAAGGAAGGCTGCCGCTGTCTTTTTTTCAGAGGGGTAAATTGTCACTCACGAACCCACTCACTGACAAACCCACATGGATGATTCAATTACTCAGCCACTTACTCACTCAACCACCCATCCACTTACCCTCATCACTAGTTCATCCACTCACCCCCCCCCATCCACCCTCACACTCAGGAATTCACCCACCCATTCACTCACTCACCCACTCACTCGATGAGGAGTTCACGTGGTATGAGCGCTATCGTTCCTATAGCGCAGGGCGATCATCGCCAAGGAAGGCGCCGCTGTGATTCACAGACACGGCTTGCGGTGGTTTCACAGAAGGGGTGGGCGAGGCGATGTTGCTGCTGCTGCTCTTGCTGCTTTTCGTGTTGCCAATTGACTCATCAGCGGTGTCACTTTAAACATTTGACAAATTTGGTACCGTGAAGTCGGAACACAATGGCCTGCTCGTTTGAAACGACGTCGCGGGTTCGTTGACCTCCACTTGTGAGTGAAGCATCTTACAGTCAACACCCACTGCAGTATTAATCAGGGCGGCCTTCGGGATGGGAACCACGAACCCCCTGCAACGAGCAGCGAACGCGCTCCCGCTCTCGCCGCGTCAACAGAAACACGACCATGGCGTATTTACAAAAAACACTAAAACAAATAAAACCTTACTCTTTGGTTCTTTCGGTAAAGTCACGTAGGTATAAAAATAAATTAATTAAATCACGACGTATCAAAGAGTATGGATCCCTGCAGTCACGAAAACTTCAAATATAGAAATAAAGCCTTCTGGGTTCTTTCGGTAAAGTCACGTAGAATGGAGATGAAGTAATAAAAATAATAATAACAGAATAAAATTCTCACGACGTTTCGGCCACAACACAAGTAGCCTTCCTCAGGTGAAGAAACAGGACTGTCCGGAAGACAGCGCTTGAGTGAACCCTGCCAAGCATGGACAGCGTCTTTTAAGCTGTGTGGGAGGAACAGAGCGCCTTGACAAAGGAGTTTACATATAAATTAGCATGTAACTGGGGGATTAGCATGATGATCCCTCACACCAACATCATGCTAATACCCCAGTTACATGATAATTTATATGTAAACTCCTTTGTCAAGGCGCTCTGTTCCTCCCACACAGCTTAAAAGACGCTGTCCATGCTTGGCAGTGTTCACTCAAGCGCTGTCTTCCGGACAGTCCTGTTTCTTCACCTGAGGAAGGCTACTTGTGTTGTGGCCGAAACGTCGTGAGAACTTTATTCTGTTATTATTATTATTTTTATTATTTCATCTCCATTCTACGTGACTTTACCGAACGAACCCAGAAGTTGAATCCCTGCAGTCACGAAAGCTCTCAATCGAAAAATAAAACCTTAATACGCAAAGAGCGACGAGTCCCGGCTTGATGCGCGCTCACGCTCGAGCGCGTCTCCACTAAAGCGCCGTTCTTCCATTCGGGAACACCTTTCACACGACGCGGATCACGCTCGGTCATAACGCGGATCGCGCGCGGTTTCCGTGCGGTCGACGAACAACTTTCTGGAGCCGCCAACGGCTGATACGCGTACGCAGTGACGCAGCGCGTTGATCTGTCCCCGCAGTCTGGAACGCGCGGCGCGGCGCGGCGCAGCGCACCGCTGCCGTCCCATTACCGTCGCGTCGCCTGTTCGGCAACACCGATGGCGCGCCGTAACCAGCGCTCGCCGCTTTCCGCCCGCGCTCGGCCAGGTCGCACGCGAACGTGCTCTCCGACTGCCGCTTCGGCGCCGGCGGGCGCCTCGTGGCCACGGCGTCGTGGGACCGCACTCTCCGCCTCTGGGACGTGCGGACCGGAGCCTTCCGCGAGGACGGCCCCCTGGAACTGCGCGGGGGCCACGGCGGCTCCGTCAGCTCCTGCGCCTTCTCGTCCGATGGTGAAGCGCGCGATAGCGGCGACGGGTCGTCGCCTCCGCCGCCGTCGTGCGCTGCATGTTCACCGCACGTGCTTGTGGTGAACATGCAAACAAAAGCAACCATGTTCTGGTGGTACATGCATTGCCTTTGAAACTGAAGGGTGTCTCTGGTGTGGACCAATCAGTTTCAAAGACAATGCATCATCCATCATCATATACTACCAGAGCGTGTTCTTTGTTTGCATGTTCACCACAAGTACCGTGTGTGGCGTTGTTCTCTGGGTCTGACACTGGTGGTGAGACTAGACCATGAAGAAGGCTCTCTCTGCTGCTGTCTCTCGTGTAGGCCAATCAGTTTCAAAGGCAATGCATAGTTCATTATCATCATCATCATCAGAGCGTGTTTGTTTGCATGTTCACCACGAGTACCGTGTGTGGCGTTGTTCTCTGGGTCTGACACTGGTGGTGAGACTAGACCATGAAGAAGGCTGTCTCTGCTGCTGTCTCTCGTGTAGACCAATCAGTTTCAAAGACAACGCAGCATCATCATCATCATATACTACCAGAGCGTGTTCTTTGTTGGCATGTTCCCCACAAGCAATGCAGACATGATTCCCTGCAAAACGTTTCAGTTTGGTGTTTTAACATCTTGACACAACTGGTTTTATTGCCAGAACGGGTAAAACGTATTCTTATATTTCGTCAATGTGTTCATCTTGTGCGCGATCCTCTCTTTTTGAAAGGCTCCCTGCTCGTGTCTGGGGGTCTTGACCAACGCGCCGTCGTGTGGGACACCGCCACGGGCAGCAGGGGCGTCGTGCTGAAGGTGAAAGAAGTAATAATATTTAAAACAACTTTAAACAAAAAAAAACACGCTTTTGTGAACTGTACCGTACTAGTAATGGCAGAACTCCACGACTCCAGGAAGTGGGGCCTCGAAGCTTGCCACGACGTAAAGGCGCCGTGGGCAATTACAGCCAACGTGAGTTGAGCGTGGACAGTTAGACCCAAGCCGAAACATAACATAATAAAAAAGAAAGTTTTAAAATGTATATCTTCTATTTTTTATGATAGCATATAGTATTGCTCTTTGGTTCTATTCGGTAAAGTCACGTGAAAAAAAACCAACAAAAAATAAAAATTCACGACGTTTCGGCCACAACACAAGTGGCCTTCATCAGGTGAAGGGACCGTGCCGTCATGAGGACAGCGTTGGTGTGAAAACAGCCAAGTATGACATAAGTATGACGTAAGTACAAGTATACCAAGTTTGCAGTCGATACCACATTGGTAAGCGGGGTAAAATTGAGTTACAAGATTTGAGGATACAACGACAACAACAACGACGACAACAACGACAACAACAACAGACAGAGTGAGTTAAATAAAAGCGTGTAGTAATAATAACAACAACAACAAATTACATCTCCGGCGGTCGCACAGAAGGGGTTCGGAAAAGTTGCGGCGCGCGCTTTAACCCGCCCGGTAAAGCGCTGAGCGAGCGCAGGGCTCGGCAAACAAAAAAAACTTTCAAAAGAAGAGGAAGACGAAGTAGCAGATGGATTTAAACCAAAGGGATTTAAACCAAAAGTAGTTTCGAGAGCCGCATCACACGCGGAGCGACTTATCCACAGACACACACACAGCAGCGGGTAACACGGCAGACGACAAACACACATTGTGACATAAATAAACAAAATAGGCGATTGTATAAACCGCGTCGATTTAGTCACCCCGAACCCCGCCCATTTCTCTCACACCGCAGTTTGACTGTCGTTCATTTTGTTGTGGTCGGGGCATTCCATGGTGACCCCATTCCCAGCCATATTTAACAAAAAATTCCTTACGTTAAATTACGTTTAAGATTTAAGTAATTTTGTTTTTGTTTTAAAACGGCTGCCCGCAGCAAGTGGGGGCAGCCAAAGAGCAGAAAGGGGGGGCAGCCAAAGAGCCGCGTGGGGGGCAGCCAAAGAGCCGCGTGGGGGGCAGCCAAAGAGCCGCAAGGGGGGGCAGCCAAAGAGCCGCGTGGGGGGCAGTCAAAGAGTCGCAAGGGGGCAGCCAAAGAGCCGCATGGGGGCAGCCAAAGAGTCGCAAGGGGGCAGCCAAAGAGTCACAAGGGGGGCAGCCAAAGAGCCGCGTGGGGGGCAGCCAAAGAGCCGCGTGGGGGGCAGCCAAAGAGCCGCGGGGGGGGCAGCCAAAGAGCCGCGTGGAGGGCAGCCAAAGAGCCGCGTGGGGGGCAGCCAAAGAGCCGCGTGGGGGGCAGCCAAAGAGCCGCGTGGGGGGCAGCCAAAGAGCCGCGTGGGGGGCAGCCAAAGAGCCGCAAGGGGGCAGCCAAAGAGTCACAAGGGAGGGGGGCAGCCAAAGAGCCGCGTGGGGGGCAGCCAAAGAGCCGCGTGGGGGGCAGCCAAAGAGCCGCGTGGGGGGCAGCCAAAGAGCCGCGTGGGGGGCAGCCAAAGAGCCGCATGGGGGCAGCCAAAGAGTCGCAAGGGGGCAGCCAAAGAGTCACAAGGGAGGGGGGCAGCCAAAGAGTCGCAAGGGGGCAGCCTAAGAGTCGCAAGGGGGCAGTCAAAGAGTCGCGTGGGGGGCAGCCAAAGAGCCGCGTGGGGGGCAGCCAAAGAGCCGCGTGGGGGGCAGCCAAAGAGCCCCAAGGGGGCAGCCAAAGAGCCGCAAGGGGGCAGCCAAAGAGCCGCGTGGGGGGCAGCCAAAGAGCCGCGTGGGGGGCAGCCAAAGAGCCCCAAGGGGGCAGCCAAAGAGCCGCAAGGGGGCAGCCAAAGAGTCGCGTGGAGGGCAGCCAAAGAGCCGCGTGGGGGGCAGCCAAAGAGCCGCGTGGGGGGCAGCCAAAGAGCCCCAAGGGGGCAGCCAAAGAGCCGCGTGGGGGGCAGCCAAAGAGCCGCAAGGGGGCAGCCAAAGAGCAGCAAGGGGGGGCAGCCAAAGAGCCGCGTGGGGGGCAGCCAAAGAGCCGCAAGGGGGGCAGCCAAAGAGCCGCAAGGGGGCAGCCAAAGAGCAGCAAGGGGGGGCAGCCAAAGAGCCGCGTGGGGGGCAGCCAAAGAGCAGCAAGGGGGGGCAGCCAAAGAGCCGCGTGGGGGGTAGCCAAAGAGCCGCAAGGGGCAGCCAAAGAGCCGCAAGGGGGCAGCCAAAGAGTCGCGTGGGGGGCAGCCAAAGAGCCGCGTGGGGGGCAGCCAAAGAGCCGCGTGGGGGGCAGCCAAAGAGCCCCAAGGGGGCAGCCAAAGTGCCGCGTGGGGGGCAGCCAAAGAGCCGCAAGGGGGCAGCCAAAGAGCCGCGTGGGGGGCAGCCAAAGAGCAGCAAGGGGGGGCAGCCAAAGAGCCGCGTGGGGGGCAGCCAAAGAGCCGCAAGGGGGCAGCCAAAGAGCCGCGTGGGGGGCAGCCAAAGAGCCGCAAGGGGGCAGCCAAAGAGCAGCAAGGGGGGGCAGCCAAAGAGCCGCGTGGGGGGCAGCCAAAGAGCAGCAAGGGGGGGCAGCCAAAGAGCCGCGTGGGGGGTAGCCAAAGAGCCGCAAGGGGCAGCCAAAGAGCCGCAAGGGGGCAGCCAAAGAGTCGCGTGGGGGGCAGCCAAAGAGCCGCGTGGGGGGCAGCCAAAGAGCCGCGTGGGGGGCAGCCAAAGAGCCCCAAGGGGGCAGCCAAAGTGCCGCGTGGGGGGCAGCCAAAGAGCCGCAAGGGGGCAGCCAAAGAGCCGCGTGGGGGGCAGCCAAAGAGCAGCAAGGGGGGGCAGCCAAAGAGCCGCGTGGGGGGCAGCCAAAGAGCCGCAAGGGGGCAGCCAAAGAGTCGCAAGGGGGCAGCCAAAGAGTCGCAAGGGGGCAGCCAAAGAGCCGCAAGGGGGCAGCCAAAGAGTCGCAAGGGGACAGTCAAAGAGTCGCAAGGGGGGCAGCCAAAGAGTCGCAAGGGGGGGCAGCCAAAGAGTCGCAAGGGGGCAGCCAAAGAGTCGCAAGGGGGCAGCCAAAGAGCCGCAAGGGGGCAGCCAAAGAGTCGCAAGGGGGCAGTCAAAGAGTCGCAAGGGGGGCAGCCAAAGAGTCGCAAGGGGGCAGCCAAAAAGTCGCAAGGGGGCAGCCAAAGAGTCGCAAGGGGGCAGCCAAAGAGTCGCAAGGGGGCAGCCAAAGACCCGCATGGGGGCAGCCAAAGAGTCGCAAGGGGGGCAGCCAAAGAGTCGCAAGGGGGGGCAGCCAAAGAGCAGCAAGGGGGCAGCCAAAGAGCCGCTAGGGGGCAGCCAAAGAGCCACAAGGGGGCAGCCAAAGAGCCGCATGGGGGCAGCCAAAGAGCCTCACGCGGCTCCGGAGCTGCAGGTCGCCGACCCCTGCGCCAGCGGTCCAGGAGCCGGCGACGGGAAGCTGTCAGCCGTGCGGGCGATGCGGCGCCTCCCGTATTTGCAGATTGTATTGCCAGCCAACGTGCAAACGTTGCGCCAACGTCGTCGGCACGTGGTCGGACCGACGACGTTGGCCTGACGTTGCGTGTTGACTTGGGGTTTTCCTTGTCGCCCTCCTTTGTGCCTCCAAAAGTTCGGGGCAGCACGTTGATCGATGAGCCGGGCTACCTCTCGAACGCCGCGGTGGCTAGGAGATGTTGACTACCTCGCCAGGTATACAGGAGGTCGTGGGTTCAATACCGACCCTGACGCCTGCTGTATGTTTGGAGTTTGCGGTGTCTCTCTCTCATCATCATCACGGTGACTAAGAGATGTTGACTACCTCGCCAGGTATACAGGAGGTCGTGGGTTCAATACCGACCCTGACGCCTGCTGTATGTTTGGAGTTTGCGGTGTCTCTCTCTCATCATCATCACGGTGACTAGGAGATGTTGACTACCTCGCTAGGTATGCAGGAGGTCGTGGGTTCAATATCGACCCTGACGCCTGCTGTATGTTTGTAGTTTGCGTGTCTCTCTCTCATCATCATCATCACGGTGGCTAGGAGATGTTGACTACCTCGCCAGGTATGCAGGAGGTCGTGGGTTCAATACCGACCCTGGCGCTTGTTGTATGTTTGTAGTTTGCGTGTCTCTCTCTCATCATCATCATCATCACGGTGGCTAGGAGATGTTGACTACCTCGCCTGGTATGCAGGAGGTCGTGGGTTCAATACCGACCCTGACGCCTGCTGTATGTTTGTAGTTTGCGTGTCTCTCTCTCATCATCATCACGGTGGCTAGATGTTAACTACCTCGCCTGGTATGCAGGAGGTCGTGGGTTCAATACCGGCCCTGACGCCTGCTGTATGTTTGGAGTTTGCAGTGTCTCTCTCTCTCTCCGTGGCCGCGTGGATTTTTAGAATCAACATTACGTGCACCGAGTATTTGGCTACTTGACATTTCCACGCGACGATGATAAGCCACTGATATCAGCTTAGGCCTAAATCCGGCCCTGCGGGCAAAATGCAAAGCTTTGATGTCAAATCACAACAGACGCCTTCAAACTAAAGCGACCAGTATCATCCATAATAGAGTTCTTTTTTTTTAGTTAGATAGCGTAAGTATATTAATGTGTCGTTAAACCCGCCACCACCCGACACAGCCGATTAGTAAGGTTTGTCACGTAAACAGAACGTGGCCAATTCGTCACTATTACAGCACTAGTGTGTTGTGTAGTGTATAGTAGTGTATAGTGTAGTGTATAGTGTAGTATACTAGTACAGCACACCGGTGTGTTGGAGAGCAAAGCCACAACATTTGCATTCTGAATGACGACGTTTTGCCGGTAATTACAACTGGTGTGGACCAATCCGTTTAAAAAAAACAATGCATCATCATATACCACCAGATCATGTTCTTTGTTTTCATATTCACCACAAAGTCTTACGTGTTTAATGCAGTTCATGATTCCTTGCCAAAAGGTTTCTGTTTGGTGTTTCAACATCTTAACACAACTGGTTTTTATCATGGCCAAAACGGGGTCGAAACCTATTCTTGCGAAATCTTTCACCCGTTGGGAGGGAATTATCCGCAGGCCCCAAGCAAACGCCGTCGTTCTTTGTGCTGCGTGCAAGGGTCACGTGGACTGGGTGATGGACGTGGACGTGAGCGTGGACAAGCGCTGGGTTCTAACGGCCTCGAAGGTCAGCGAGCGGACGCGCTTTGCTCAGTTGCTCGATCTGCGAACGACCACCCCCCCCCCCCTCGCCCCCCCACCTCCCCCGGTTTTTAAACACGTAGGAGGCTTTCGCGATCAATGCTATCCATAATGGTGAAAAGTGCTGTCTCTCTCCACCTGTGGTTCTTAACCTGGGGTGCGAGATGCCCTTTCTGGGGGTGCGAGACGTGGCCAGATTTTTTTAAGAAGCTAAATCATCGAAAAATAAATTGAGCACGGGCACGTTAAGTACAACTGCCTTAAATTTTGAATTAAAGCTTTCGTGACTGCAAGGATTCATATTCTTGGTTCTTTTGGTAAAGTAACGTAGAAGGGAAACAATAAATAATAAAAATATAAAACAATACAATTATCACGACGTTTCGACTGCAACACAAGCAGTTATCATCAGCTGTGAAAACCACAACAAGAAAATTTGGAAAAAGTGGTGGTTATTTTTAACATTAGCGGACTGGGTGATGGATGCTAACGTAAAAAATAACCGCCACTTTTTTAATTTTCTTGTTGTGGTTTTCACACCTGATGATGATTGCTTGTGTTGCAGTCGAAACGTCGTGAGAATTTTATTGTTTTATATTATTATTTTATTGTTTCCCTTCTACGTGACTTTACCGAAAGAACCAAGAATATACAACTGCCTTGTTTTATTAAACCCTGTGTATTTAACACGTAGGCTTGCGCGGCCAATATCTTCCATAATACAGTTTTTTTTTGGATTAGATTGCGTAAATATTTAAGTATGTCGTTAAACCCGCCACCACCCAACACAGCCAACTAGTAAGGGGTTGTCGCGTAAACAGTACGTGGCCAATTCGTCACTAGTACAGCAACACCGGTGTACTGCAGAGCAAAGCCGCAACATTTACAATCCGAGTACGACGTTTCGACAGTAATTACAACCAGCTTCATCGGGCGACACTTTTGCTCAAGAAGGGCTCACAGGTGACGTCATCGCATCTAGTCAAGGAGCGAAACAGGAGGGAACTTCTCCACAAATCCTATGCACTCCGCCCTCATCGAACCCTGCGCGGTCTTCGGAGTGATCGCCCAGCAGCGGAATGACGCGAGGTTGGGAGGTTTGCGCTTACGCGCGTCGCTCGCCTTCGACAGGACCGCACGATGAGACTGTGGAACATTGAAAGCATGGACCGCATCCCGGCCGCGATGGGACACGAGAGCGAGAACGCGCCAAGGGTCTTGCAGGCGAGTCCTGGTACTTGACCGCGCATTGTTACACTCACGATGGTGCGCGCTGGCTAGCTGGGCGCTGGTGGCGGCTGCCGGTGACGGACCGAGGACTGGAAATCGGCCCCAGGGTTTTTGTAAACGCTGCAGGAGGGGGCCCAAACCGCGGCGCGATCTCGTAGGGCCCCATTTGGGAGCTGGGTCCCAAAAAAGGGCAAACGGGGCCCGATCTTCGGGCGCAATGCGCATTCCAAATTTGAATTGTGGTTATTAAGGAAGAATCTTTGGGGCTGCCGAATATGATGGTGGACTTAAAACCCAAGTCAGAGCGTAAATAAGCAATGAAGCGTACAGAATGGAGGAATAAAAAATGTTGACGCTTATATGGGACTATAGTTTTTAATGGAAAAAGAATGGATAATACACTGTGACACGATAACAAATTTCGATTTAAAGCTTTCGTGACTGCAGGGATGCATATTTTTGGTTCTTTTGGTAAAGTCACGTAGAAGGGAAACAATAAAATAATAAAAAATATAAAACAATAATATAATAAAAAATATAAAACAATATATTTTTATTATTTTATTGTTTCCCTTCTACGTGACTTTACCGAAAGAACCAAGAATATGATAACAAATGTGAGAATTTGCGACAGTACCACAAGAAATGTACCTTCCAGGCTCTGGAGATCACCTGGAGAAGATTCCAGGCACGCATTGACAATGATGGCGAACACGTGGGAGACTAAATTTTGATTTAAAGCTTTCGTGACTGCAGTAATTCATATTCTTAGCTCTTTCGGTAAAGTCACGTTGAAGGGAAACAATTAAATAATAAAATATATATTTTCTTGAAGCGGACTCTATATATTTTTTTAACTTCTGGCCACATTTGCAATTTCCCCACACACACCGGCCCACCGACCCTCGGAATGAACCCGGCTCCGACTGTATGGCCATTCGGGGCCTGGTGGATCTCTCTACGTAGGTTGACTCAGCCTAAAGATGATTACCTGGCGCGGTGTGTGGTAAAGATCAGCATCGGGAATACAAAGGCGGCTGGGGATGGTACTGGTAACATCAGTCCCCCCCTCCACCCAATCGTGTGCTGTACCGTGCCTTAACATAGGCGTTGTTCGCTAACAGCACTTGCCCTAAGAGTCTGTTGTAGGCTACACGGGTGATCTTTGTCTCCTTCATAGGCGTTGGTCGCTAACAGCACTTGCCCCACCAGTCTGTTGAAGGCGAGACGGGTGATCTCTGTCTATGTATCCTCCATAAGTGATGTTCACTCACAGCACTTGCCTTAGGCGATGTTCGCATACAGCACTTGCCCTCGGCGATGTTGGTTCAAAGAACTTGCCCTAGGCGATGTTCGCTCACAGCACTTGCCCTCGGCGATGTTTGTTCAAAGCACTTGCCCTAGGCGATGGTCGCATACAGTACTTTCCCTAGGCGATGTTCACTCACAGCACTTGCCCTAGGCGATGTTCGCACACAGCACTTGCCCTCGGCGATGTTTGTTCAAAGCACTTGCCCTAGGCGATGTTCGCTCACAGCACTTGCCCTAGGCGATGTTCGCACACAGCACTTGCCCTAGGCGATGTTCGCACACAGCACTTGCCCTAGGCGATGTTCACTCACAGCACTTGCCCTAGGCGATGTTCGCATACAGCACTTGCCCTAGGCGATGTTCACTCACAGCACTTGCCCTAGGCGATGTTCGCACACAGCACTTTCCCTCGGCGATGTTGGTGCAAAGAACTTGCCCTAGGCAATGTTTACACACAGCACTTGCCTTAGGAAATGTTCACACACAGCACTTGGCCGAGGCGATGTTCGCTCACAGCACTTGCCCTAGGCGATGTTCGCTCACAGCACTTGCCCTAGGCGATGTTCGCTCACAGCACTTGCCCTAGGCGATGTTCGCTTACAGCACTTTCTCTAGGCGGTGTTGGCTCAAAGAACTTGCCTTAGGAAATGTTCGTACACAGCACTTGCCCTAAGCGATATTCGCACACAACACTTGCCCTAGGCGATGTTCGCTCACAGCACTTTCCCTCGGCGATGTTGGTTCAAAGCACTTGCCCTTGGCGATGTTCACACACAGCACTTGCCCTAAGCGATATTCGCACACAGCACTTGCCCTAGGCGATGTTCGCTCACAGCACTTTCCCTCGGCGATGTTGGTTCAAAGCACTTGCCCTTGGCGATGTTCACACACAGCACTTGCCCTAGGCGATATTCGCACACAGCACTCGCCCTAGGCGATGTTCGCACACAGCACTCGCCCTAGGCGATGTTCGCACACAGCACTCGCCCTAGACGATGTTCGCACACAGCACTTGCCCTAGGCCGCACGGTGGTAAACCTCTCGTCCCCTTCGCCCGCCAGTGCGAGTCGTGCAGGAAGCCGCTCCCCGCAACGCGACGCGGTGCGGCGTCTGCGGCCGTGTCCAGGTGCAGCCCGTGCCGCTCGACGACCCCTGGCGAAGTCGCCTCGGTCCTGCGGCGTCACGAAGCCGAGCCCCATCGTCCGTGACGCAGCGGCTGAGTCGAATGCGTCATCAGCTCGGGAGGGGGGCGGGGGGTGGCTGTGCAGTGCAACAGTCGAGTCAGGTGGGGGGCCCCCCCAATATTGTGATTTGTCTCTTCGCACGGCTGCACCCGTGAGGCTGATTATTATATACCGCGGGCTCCTCTTGCACTGATCTACATGGTCGTTACGCACGCGGTCTCGAACTATTTGACTCCGTGGCTGGGGGGCGCAGCCGCGAACAGTTCCGTAGTGGTGGTGGTTACATCTTTGCAATGTTACGTTACCGCTCGAATTAGATTCGAATCAAACGTGGAGCGTGGAATGAACGCATTTTTACGTGAAATAAATTCAAACCGCGTTTGAATTAGTGTTTGCTTGTTGTTGTTGTTGTTGTTATTTTACTGTGTTGTTGAAAACCAACGTCATCGTGGTTGTCAAGGGGGGTGCCCCCCAATTTATAGCTTTGGCTATAGCGGGGGAGGGGGTGGGTAACTGTTGATGTTTTTTGTTTGGGTGCCACGATAGAGAGATGTTAACTACCTCGCTAGGTATGCAGGAGGACGCGTGCTCGATCCCGACCCTGACGCCCGCTGTATATTTGGAGTTTGCGTGTCTCTCTCCCCGTGGTCACGTGGATTTTTCTCCGGGTCCTCCGTTCCACCTCCCCCCACCCCCCCCCCCCCCCCCCGCTCCAAGTGTATAATGAACATGCGTTTTAGAATAATTGGCTGCTATACATTTCCACGTGATAAGCCACTTCGTTCATCTGTCATTTGTGGCCAGATCGCTTCTGAAGAATCAGTTGCAAGGCTCAGCGGTCACTTATCTGAAAAAAGTACAAAAAAACATTAAGGGACCTCCTTTGCCAGTGCCAAAATATGATAATAGGTTTTTTTTCCCTTTTATCTGGCAACAAAACAGTTGTGTTCAGATGTTAAAACACCAAACTGAAACCTTTTACGAGGAATCACGTCTGCATTAACCGCAACGCCTGTGTGGTCGGAGTGCCAAACAAATACCACGCTCTGATAATCTATGTGGCGTTGTCCTTGGAAACTGATTGGTCCACACCGGGGACAGCTTGCTTTTGAGCCTCGTCTCAAACGGTGTCAGGCCAGAGGAAGCCTCGTCGATACCTGTGCTACAGATGCACACACACACACGACACCGCGTTGGCTAATTCGCGACTCAGCGTATGCACACGCATGTATGTACGTTGAACTTCTTCATGCACCGTACGTAGCAAACCGTGCTTGTCGGAGGTGCGGTGGGGGGGGGGGGGGGAAGACGACAAGCTTAGCAGTTCTAAAGAAATGAGTTTGTCAATCTAAATGATTTAAAAGTGCATAGAACCAGTGGCGTACGAATATCGGCAGGAAGAGCGTTCCAGACGGCCGCAGAAGCGCGCCTGAAAGCGCCGCGCGACGCGGTGTCTTTGTTGAGGTAAGGGTCAGGAGTAACGCTACCAGAACGTACACGGCATAGAATACAGATTTAAAATCTGACAATTAAAATGGAAATTTCAGGACCTGGCCGTATTTTTTTTTTCCCCACGTGGCGTTCAAACAACATTCTGGTCGATTGCCATTGCCCAGGGTCCTTTAGATCCAAAGTTAAAAATCAAAACGATGTTGGGGAGTGCTCGAACATCGCCGCATCTGCACGATCCTCCCGCAAAGATGTTTCCACCTGAGCACGGCTGCCGATCGCAGCAGAAGGTCCCCAGTGACTGCGGTGTGGGTGAGAGGTGACACCACTGGGTGGGTGGGGTGGGTGGGGTGGGTGGGGTGGGTGGGCCGCCACCGCGCGGAGGGTTGCCTCGTGGGCAGCAGAGGGCATTGCAGCAACATCCAGCGGGCAGAGGTCGCAGCGATCACTGCGGTGAGCAAGCGACCAGGCGTCCCAATGCGACTCGTCCCCAGGCTCCTCTCCTTTTCCTTCCCCACTACCTTCGTCTTCCTGCACCACTCAGCCCACCCTGTCCCACCTCGTGTTGGCACATCGCGAGGTGGTGAACCCATCACGGTCCCTTTGTTTGGTTTCAAGTTTAGGTGCGGAAAACCGGTAACGGTATATATTTTTTCCGAGTTTTTGTCTTCGGTTACCAGTAATGCTTTTTTTTGTTTGTTACACAATCGTGGTTTATTTAAAATTAAAAAAAATGCGCTAACCTACTGCGCCACCGCTCCACAGCTTGTACTCACGCAGAAATATCACCCGGGTACCTCCATAAGAGTTTTTTTTGGGGTTAGATTGGGTAAATATATAAATGTGTCGTTAAAACCCGCCACCACCCGACACAGCCAACTAGTAAGGGTTGTCGCGTAAACAGAACGTGGGCAATTCGTCACTAGTACAGCACTAGTGTGTAGTTTATAGTGTAGTGTATAGTGTAGTATACTAGTACAGCACTAGTGTGTAGTGTAGTGTATAGTGTAGTGTATAGTGTAGTATACTAGTATAGTACTATATAGTGTAGTATACTAGTACAGCACTAGTGTGTAGTGTATAGTGTAGTATACTAGTACAGCACTAGTGTGTAGTTTATAGTGTAGTGTATAGTGTAGTATACTAGTACAGCACTAGTGTGTAGTGTAGTGTATAGTGTAGTGTATAGTGTAGTATACTAGTACAGTACTAGTGTGTAGTGTAGTGTATAATGTAGTATACTAGTACAGCACTAGTGTATAGTGTAGTATACTAGTACAGCACTAGTGTGTAGTGTAGTGTATAATGTAGTATACTAGTACAGCACTAGTGTATAGTGTAATATACTAGTACAGCACGAGTGTGTAGTGTATAGTAGTGTATAGTGTAGTATACTAGTACAGCACACCAGTGTGTTGGAGAGCCGAGCCACAACATTTACAATCTAAGTACGATGTTTCGCCAGTAATTACAGGCGACAGCCAGATTTGCGGAGAAGTCCACCTGTTTCGTTCCGTATATAGAGGCGTGGATGTGTTGGCCACACTTCTGCACTCTTGGGCCACGTGGGGAGGGGGGGTGGGATTAATGAGTCAACGCACATTTTGCATGTGCATTATGCGAGCCCTTTGAACTTGTCCTTCCTGTCTATTGTTTACTAAAATAGCCCTACCAACGGTTATCCCTGTTGAAGCACGCTGCCCTATATAGGCATGCATTCAAATAGTGTATTATTTGATGATTCGCTTCCACGCATCACTAAGGCGGTAGCTATCCGAACGTTGAAAGTTTTAGTTATTTATTTATTTCCATTTCGATAGATTATCTAATTAGTCTTGGCCAGTGGTAGCTAGTTTTGCACAGAACTTCAACATCATCAAAATCAATCGAGTGTCCTTGTTGGCACGCGTGTTCTGCTACTGCTGACAGTTGTGTTTGGGATAAATTAATGTTTCTCTGATGTTCTTTTAGACTCGTGCTGATCATTTGTCCTGTTTGCCCAACATAACATTTGCCACACGTGCAGTTAATCCTGTACACACCTTCTGTTGATAGCTTCGGTAATGCATCTTTTTTTTACCAGATATTAATTTCTGTATTTTATGTACCGTGGCAAATCTGACTCGGATGTTTTGTTTTTCCAAACATCTGGCTAGTTTGTCAGCTACTCCCGCAATGTACGGTATTTTGATCGTTTTTAATTACTTGGGCAGTTTCAATGCTCGTGTTATTTGTTTTGGTTTTGGCATTCAATGCCCTGTTGATTTGTGCATCATTGTAACTTCTTTGGTTCTTTCGGTAAAGTCACGTAGAATGAGAATAAAATAATAAATTGATAAAATAAAATAACACAATAATATTCTCACGACGTTTCGGCCACAACACAAGCGGCCTTCATCAGGTGAAGGGAGCGAGACTGTCTGGTAGGACAGCGCTGGAGTGAGAGAGCCACGTTCAGATCACGGCTTTTAAGCTGTGTGAGAGGAACAAAGAGCCTTGACGAAGGAATTAGCATAAAATTTACCATTGAAAAGGCTGAATGATTAGCTTGTGACTGGTCACAGAAATAGCTATGTTAAAAGTTAAAGCATACACATCCGCAGAGGCACCCATTGTTAAAAGGAATTAGCATAGAATTTAGCATTGAAATAGCTAAATTAAGGCATTCGCTTGTAACTGCTACAGAAATAGTTACGTTGAAGTCAGAGCATACACATTCACCGAGGCACTTAGTACAAATCAAAACAGGAGAATTTAGCATTGAAATAACTAGGCGAATTTAGCATTGAAATAACTGGGTGATTTGCTGGTGACTGGTCACAGCAAATCACCCAGTACTATATAGTGAACCAATAAAAACTAAAATATAAATTACCTTCATGTTATCAATAAACTCTATATTCTCCAATCAGCTAAGCTACCAACCATAAGCTACCAGACAGTCTCGCTCCCTTCACCTGATGAAGGCCGCTTGTGTTGTGGCCGAAACGTCGTGAGAATATTATTGTGTTATTTTATTTTATCAATTTATTATTTTATTCTCATTCTACGTGACTTTACCGAAAGAACCAAAGAAGATGAATCATTGCAGTCACGAAAGCTTTAAATCGAAATCATTGTAACAGTTCATTTGCAGCGCTTCTTCAACATGTTGAATTTCACTTCTCAGACTGTCACCATCTGACACTTTCTTAGCTCGATGAATGAGCGTCTTTATAAGAGCAGATTTCTGTGCAGGGTGATGGTGTGACTGCATTCAGATAGGCTTCAGTATGTGTTTTTTTTCGGTAAACACTGTGTGTTATGATAATAGGGGTTTCCCCTTTTTTTCAGGCAACAAAACAGCCGTGTTAAGATGTTAAAACACCAAACTGAAACCTTTTACAAGGAATCATGTCTGCATTAACCACAATGCTTGTGGTCAGAATGAAAAAAAATCATACTGTGATAATATATGTGGCATTGTCTTTGAAACTGATTGGTCCGCACCAGAGACAGCTTTCTTTTGAGCCTCGTCTCAAACGATGTTAGACCTGAGCACGCCAAAATGCAGTCACGATTCTTCGTAAAAGGTTTAAGTGGGTATTTTAACATCTCAACACAGCTGTTTTGTTGCCAAAAAAATGGGAAAACCCTATTATCATATTTTGGTACTGGCAAAGGAGGCCCCATGATGTAACTCTGTGTTATTTTACCATTTAGACCCCGAACGAGCAGATTATCCTGAAATGGTAGAGTTCTGTCAGCTTCCACTTCCATGGTGAACTGGATGGATGGGTTTTGCGAGTTGAGATGATTTAGAAATGCGTTCAGTGTATCTCTACCGTTTGGCCAGACCACCAATGTGTCGTCCACATATCTAAACCAAGCAGATGGTTTTAGTGTGCTTGAAGCTATTGCTTTTGTTTCAAAATCTTCCATGTACAAATTCGCTATCACAGGAAACAAATGAGAGCCCATTTCTGCTCCTTCCTTTTGTTGATCAAAATCACCTTATTCTTAGTTTTTTCGGTAAAGTCACGTTGAAGAGAAACAACAAAATATATATAAAACAATAAAAAATTTTTATATATATTTTGTTGTTTCTCTTCAACGTGACTTTACCGAAAAAACTAAGAATATGAATTACTGCAGTCACGAAAGCTTTAAATCAAAAATCAAAATCACCTTGTCATTTTGTGGCCAGGTGACAGCCTGATTAAGCTACTTCTTGTGGCAAGGTGACAGTCTGATGAAGGACTGTCGCTGAAGCTAGTTGAAATTACTGGCAGAACGTTGTACTCAGATTGTAAATGTTGTGACTTGGCTCTCCAACACACCGGTCTGCTGTACTAGTGACGAATTTGCATGTTCTGTTTACGTGACAACCCTTACCAGTTGGCCAAATAAACCTCCATTATGGATGATATTGGTCGCGACAGCCTACCACGTGTTACACTAACCGGGTACCCATTTGCGCATTGGCCAGAAAAGAGAAGTTCAGACGGGTGACAACTACTGAGACTGTTTTGTTTAATTATCTGCTCGGAGATCTGCTCAGAGATGGGCACTGCTGCTCCGGGCAACCGAGAGAACAGGAAAGACCGCTCGTGGAATGTGAGGAATCTCCAAGCGAGGCTGCGCCTGTATCGTACACAAAGACAATGATCCCCCGTATAGGCTTAGCACATTTTTGGGGTAAGTGTCGTTGAGCGAGTATCACTCTAAGAAGGCCGGCACGGCACAGGAGGGGCTGGCCAGCACCACCTTTGTCTCCCGTGTCGCGAGATGTTAACTTCCTCGCCTAGTATGCAGGAGGTCGTGGTACAGGTAGTTTGGGTTAGATCGCGGTTAGAACGCGATCTAACGCAAAACAACCCCCCCCCCTGTATTATGGACGATATTCGTCGCGAAAGCCTACGTGTTAAACAGGAGGACGAGGGTTCGATCTGCTATATATTTGGAGTTTGCGTGTGTCTCTCTCTCATCATCATCACGGTGGCTAGGAGATGTTAACTCCCTCGCCAGGTATACAGGAGATCGTGGGTTCGATTCCGACCCTGACGCCTGCTGTATGTTTGGATTTTACACGCTTCTCTCCCCGTGGTCGCGTGGATTTTTCGACGGGGCCTCCGTTTTTTTCCCCCTCCACATTTTTTTAATCACGCGTTTTCAGAGTGCTTGGCTGTGATAAATCCCCACGCGATAAGCCAAATTGTTGAGATGTAATTTTGTGGCCAGGTCGCTTCTGAAAAGGAACTATATCAAGCTCGGCGGGTCTTACCGGGTAACGTTGAACAGACAAAAAGAGTTTAGTTTACGCACCACACCAAGTACCTGTCTGAGGCTGAGTAGACCTAGGGGAGGCGCAGGACCACGCTCAAAACATTCGCCACTGTTGTGGGTCGTGAGCGGGAATTCGAACTCGGTCCGTAGCGCAGCGCAGCGCGCTCACCGCTACACCGATGCGATCGCCACACCACGGCGCAGTCAACAATTGCTTGCAGGTCAATTATTTTCGCCGCTTGCAACGGGTAGGCGTGAGACTCCAGCCAGCCACGAGAGGCCGCTACATTAATGGCAGTGATAAGAGAGAGAGAGGGGCGGCGGACGAAATGAAAACATCGGAATGTCGGGCACTTTATGATCACTCCATGCTGCTTTACGCGTGACAATAACGCGCCGATAGTAACGCGCTATCAACACAATCGTAGTTTGTGGCCCCGTGTGTCTGTGCACGTGTGTTGAACTTCTTTCGCACCGTACATAGCCAGCCGTGATAATCCGGAGGTGTGCGGGGCAAGGCGCCAACAAATTATTGTACGTGTTATTATTCTTCAGAATGGTCTCTTTTTTTTTAAAGGTCATTGTCATCGAGGAATTGCGTTTTCGTTCTTTGTGCGCCCAGGGCCGTCCATAGGGTCGAGGGAGGGGGGTTGCGAGGCCCGGGGCAAATTCCACAGTGGGCCTTCTCCAAGGACCTCCCCCCCGCCGCCCCTCAAAGCGCGGGGCCCTGGCCAGTCACCCCCCCCCCCCCCCACCGAATCGCCGTGTACCCAATGATACGCCTCCGAGCGCACCACTATCAACGCACCGGGACTGTGTCTCGAACTCCTTCCATCCTGGCCGAGCCTGCGACGTTCTCTCGACTAACTGCACCGCGGCCGACCACCGGCAGCGGTCGGCGTGACGCGCGCAATTGCAGGGCCTGCGCCTTTATCTTGTTTTATTTTTTCACGCTGCTTAGACGCTCGACTGCCGTTGTCTCCGCCTCGTCCTAATATCCCATCTCCCGTGTCATCTCACGCCCTCTCCACACTCCCCACCCACCCACCGACCCTGTATGACGTCGCGGTGCGTGCGATGCCTGTGGTGGGGGGGATAGTGGGGGGTAGGGCGGGGTGGTGGTGGTGGTGTCGTGACACGGGACGCACGCAGGAGACTGTCGTTCCCCGTCTCTCCCACACCACCTCTCGTTCACCTCGGTCACCACGCACCATCCTAGCCCAGCGGCCAGCGAATGTGTTTTTTTGTTCGGGGAGGTGGGTGCAGAGGGGGCTTTGCAAATGATCTCGGGCAGTTTTGAGTGTCTGTCCTTCGGCTAATCACACCCCCCCCCACACCACACACACCTACAACCAACCAGCACCACCACCACACACACACCTACAACCAACCAACCACCACCACTACACACACCTACAACCAACCAACCAGCACCACTACACACACCTACAACCAACCAACCAGCACCACCACCACACATACACCTATAACCAACCACCACCACTACACACACACCTACAACCAACCAACCAGCACCACCACCACCACACATACACCTACAACCAACCACCACCACTACACACACACCTATAACCAACCACCACCACTACACACACACCTACAACCAACCAGCACCACCACCACCACACATACACCTACAACCAACCACCACCACTACACACACACCTATAACCAACCAACCACCATCACTACACACACACCTACAACCAACCACCACCACTACACACACCTACAACCAACCAACCACCACCACACACACACCTACAACCACAACCAACCACCACCACTACACACACGCCTACAACCAACCAACCACCACCACTACACACACCTACAACCAACCAGCACCACCACCACTACACACACCTACAACCAACCAGCACCACCACCACTACACACACCTACAACCAACCAACCACTACCACTACACACACACCTACAACCAACCACCACCACACACACACCTACAACCACAACCAACCACCACTACACACACACCTACAACCAACCAGCACCACCACCACACACCTACAACCAACCAGCACCACCACCACTACACACACACACGCCGGAGCAACACTTACCTTACTTAATGCAGCAACGTGGGTAGGAGGGGGGGGGGGGGTCACGCACAAACCCATTTTATGAGCGAGCTGAACTCTGGACCTATCCGACTCAAGAACGCGGCGGCGCCAGCGTCATCATCATCATCATCGTCTAAAATATTTTTTGTAAAACATTTGTTGGGGACTATCGGCGCGATGAATCCGGCCGCAGCGAGACGTCCTGGCGGGAGTTCCGCCGTGCTGAGGCTCACCCGGGTACTCTTCCTCGCCGTGGCGTTCGTGGCTACCTTCATGCTCGGCAGCATCAGCCGCGACTACACCCAGAGCGAGCTGGGTCACGATCAGAGATCCGCCTGCAGGTAGGTGGCTGCTACGATGACAAAGATTCACCACCACCACCACCAACCACGTCCGCCCACCTCTCAGTAAAGCCTCCAACAGAAGGTTGGGGTGCAAGCGCTGTTCTCGAGTGGCACCAATGAAGGCCCGATCGCCGGCACGGGGCGGGCGTAGGTGGCAAGCAAGCACGCCCGGCCGCCTTTGTCTCCGCAGTGGGCGATGTTTTACACACCGCACCAGGTACTCATTTGAGGCTGAGTCGACCTTGGGGAGGCCCAGGACCGGTTCGTATAATCTACACACAGATGAAGAGCTCTCCCCCCACCCCCCACCCCTTAACAGACTGTTGAGGCAAGTGCTGTTATCGAGCACATACACACAAAGACAAAGATCCCCCGTATAGCCTGACCAAACTTTTGGGGCAAGTGCTGTTTGCGAGCACCTACACACAAATACACAGAAACCCATAGACCCACACAGAGACCCATAGACTCACATATTGACCCATAGACCCACACAGAGACCCATAGACCCACACAGAGACCCATAGACCCACACAGAGACCCATAGACTCACATAGAGACCCATAGACCCACAACGATACCCATAGACTTACATATTGACCCATAGACTCATACAGAGACCTATAGGCTCATACAGAGACCCTTAGACTCGCACATACACCTATAGACTCACATAGAGACCCATTCATTCAGAACTGCTTCTGTGTTTAGTGGCGTTGTCCTTCCAACGCACCTGCGCTGAGCACGGTTGGCTACGTACGGTGCGAAAAAAAGTTCAGCATGCAGTACAGACATACGTGTGGCCATATCGCCTCTGACAACAGAGCTCCTAGATCGGTGGACTTTGATTTTATTATTGGCACAAGAAAGGCAGGTGAAAGGCAAACACGGTAAAAAGGTTTCGCGATTTAGGCTGGAACCCAACGGCGGCTTATACGAAAACGACACCTAAAACAAGAATAATCTACATACGAAACAGACAGTTCAATCAATCAAACAAAGCATACTGTTACAACTAAACATGTTAAACTTAATGTTTAAAAATCGAGTAGTTTTTTTTTGCGTGCGTATGTGTGCGTGAGAGAGCGGTGGTGTAGCGGTTAGCGCTACGCTGCGCTACGAACCCGGCGAGCCGAGTTCGATTCCAGCTCACGGCCAACACCGGTGACGATTATCTGAAGCGGTCGTGGGTCTCCCCTAGGTCGACTCAGCCTCAAATGAGTACCTGATGCGGTGTATAAACATTGCCACCGGGGAGACAAAGGCGGTCGGGCGTGGTGCTGGCCACACACCCCCTCGTGTGCCGTGCCGGCCTTCATAGGTGCTCGCTAACAGCACTTGCCCCTACAGGCGGCTACACGGGGGATCGTTGATGTGTGTGTGTGTGAGTGTGTGCGTGAGTTCGTGCATCTGTGCGTGAGTGTGTGCGTGCGTGAGTGTATGAGTGTGTGCGTGCGTGAGTGTGTGTGTGCGTGAGTGGTGAGTGTGTGCGTGAGTGGTGAGTGTGTGCGTGCGTGAGTGTGTGCGTGAGTGTGTGCGTGAGTGTGTGCATGAGTGCGTGCATGTGTGCGTGAGTGCGTGCGTGAGTGCGTGAGTGTGTCCGTGAGTGCGTGAGTGTGTGTGCGTGAGTGTGTGCGTGTGTGTGTGTGTTCGTGCGTGAGTGTGTGTGTGCGTGAGTGTGTGTGTGCGTGAGTGTGTCCGTGAGTGCGTGAGTGTGTGAGTGTGAGCGTGTGCGTGAGTGTGTGCGTGAGTGCGTGCGTGTGTGTGCGTGAGTGCGGTCCTGGACGGGCAACTCTGTCGTGGACAGTGCTGTGGGGGGAGGTCCAATTTCGATTGGCTCCTCCCCTCATGGCGTCTGTGTCCACCACAGGGGCTAAACGGGGGCTCTGGACGGGAGCGAGGGGCTGGTAACCCCTCCACCTTCAATTAATTACAACTAAACCACGAATTAAGTATAATTGGCGGAGCCAGGAGATTGAATATCTACCCTCGGGGCTCCTCCAGAAACAACGAAAAACCACGACGGGTGGCCACGTGGAATGTTCGAACGCTCACTGCGGAGGAGAGGCTGCCACCCCTCTGTCGGGAGCTGGACCGGTACCGCCTGGATCTCTGTGGCATTCAGGGGGTCCGGTGGACCGGTTCTGGCTCCTGCCACCATGAGGGGTGGACAGTCCTCTACTCGGGGCAGTAGACTGCCAAACAACAGGGTGTGGCTCTTCTTTTGAACAAAATAATGAAGGGGGCGTGGGAGTGTGGCGGTGAGGTGTGGGAAGCTGTAAGCCCCAGGCTACTTTGGGCTCGCCTTCCCATCAACCGAAGGCGAGGAATGGTGGTCGTGGTTACTTATACCCCCACCAAAGATGAACATCCCTGGAGGGATGCAGGCAAAGCCGATGAGTCAGATGCCTTCTATGACCTCCTGTCACAGGTACTGGCTAAAGTGGCCCCTCGGGATAGAGTCATAATGTTGGGTGACTTCAATGCCCGAGTTGGTCATGATGCTGGCACCTGGTCTGGAGTGATTGGAGGGCATGGGCCAGATCAGCTCAATAACAACGGTAGGAGGCTGCTAGATTTTTGTGCAGCCCATGGTCTTGTAATTACCAGCATGCTGTTCCGGCATCGGCGCATCCACACAACATCATGGATGCATGCCGGTTCCTTGCCCTTTTCAAACCTTCTCCACGTTGCCCTGTCTGTCTCCACGTCCGAACCGCACCAACATCGCCCCCCTCCACCCCCCCCCCCCCACTACTTCTTCCTCCGCCTTCCTCTCGATCTCTCTCCTCCCACTTGCATCGCTCGCCACCTCCTGACCCATTCTTCTGCCGCCCAACTCTACAAATAAATCGTCGGAACGACTCGCGCGATGTTTCTCTTAGGCGGTTCCACGCTGTTGTTTTCACTGTTTCATGGAACTGCAACCTTGTGGCAACAATGACACCAGCACCAAAGGCAAAGATCCCCCGTACAGCCTTAACAGACCGTTGGGGCAAGTGCTGTTAGTAGGTGGCACCTGATGAAGGTCAGAACGGCACGCGAGGGTTTGGGTGGCCAGCAACCACGCCAGGCCGCCTTTGTCTCCCTCGTGGCGATGTTTACACACACACAAACAGTACCAGGTACTCATTTGAGGCATAGTCGACCTAGGGGAGGCCCTGGACCGGTTCAGATAATCGTCACCACCACCATCACCACACAACCGCTCCCTCACCACCACCATCACCACACTACCGCTCCCACACCACCACCATCACCACTACTGCTCCCACACCACCACCACCACACTACCGCTCCCACACCACCATCACCACCACCACACTACTGCTCCCACACCACCACCACCACACTACCGCTCCCACACCACCATCACCACCACCACATTACTGCTCCCACACCACCACCACACTACCGCTCCCTCACCACACTACTGCTCGCACACCACCACCATCACCACTACACTTCCGCTCCCACACCACCACCACCACCACACTACCGCTCCCTCACCACCACCACCACCACACTACCGCTCCCACACCACCATCACCACCACCACCACACTACTGCTCCCACACCATCACCACCACCACACTACTGCTCCCACACCACCACCACCACACTACCGCTCCCTCACCACACTACTGCTCCCACACCACCACCACACTACCGCTCCCTCACCACCACCACCACCACCACACTACCGCTCCCTCACCACACTACTGCTCCCACACTACCACCACCACACTACCGCTCCCTCACCACCACCACCACACTACCGATGTGTTGAAGAGCAGAGCCACAGTATTTAGTGATCAGATTGTTTAATGTTGTGGCTTTGCTCTCCAACACACCGCTGTGCTGTACTCGTAACGAATTGGCCACGTTCTGTTTACGTGACAAACCTTACTAATCGGCTGTGTCGGGTGGTGGCGGGTTTAACGACACATAAATATACTTACGCTATCTAACTTTCTGTTCACGTGACAACATTTTACTAGTTGGCTGTGTCTGGTGGTGGCGAGTTTAACGACACATGTATTCATTTTACGTGATCCTACCCCCCCCCCCCACTAAAAAAAAAAACACTTGCCTCATCGATGATATTGGTCGCGAAAATTCCACCGCAAAATCGCTCGATTCGGATTTAACACCGCGGCAGCCGGCCAGCAGCAATCATAACACACCCCCGCCCCCCCCACCTCCTCCTCCATTCTGCGGGTGACACTCTCGCAATTCGAGACACCGGCACGCTCCGTCTCAACTCCTTATCGGCCGCTTGAAGCGGAAAAAAAACCCTCCGAGTGAAATGCGCAGACACCGAGGGATCTTCTGCAATGCGGAAACAAACCCTCACCCCAACCCAACCCATCCCCCTTCGCATATCCCGCCGGGGGCATACGTGCCCCCCACCCCCCCCCCCCCCCCATTGGCCACGAGAATGTGCATAGCACTCATGGGCGCTGCCACGCTGTGATGGAAGCTGGCGGTGAGTTCCGTGGGGGAGGGGGTTATTGAGTTCACGAGTGCTAGGAGGTGTCTTTTTCGACCCGGGCAGGTGCCGTGGTCTAACTTATTTGCAGACTGCGTGTCGTGTGTGCAAGGTGCGTTGCGTGTCCGCGCGCTTGTGTGTGTGTGTGTGTGGTTAGCGCGCTGCGCTGTGAACCCGGCCACCCGGGGTTCGATTCCCGCTCACGGCCGACACCAGTGGCGATTATTTGAACCGGTCCTGGGCTTCCTCTAGGTCTACTCGGCCTCAAATGAGTACCTGGTGCGATGCGTAAACATCGCCACTGGGGAGACAAAGGCGGCCGGGCGTGGTGCTGGCCACCCACCCCCTCGTGTGCCGTGCCGGCCTTTGTAGCTGCTACCTGCTAACAGCCCTTGCCCCAAAAGTCTATTAAGGCTATTCGGGGGATCTTGGTCTTTGTTTATGGGGAGCGGTGGTGCAACGGTTAAGCGCGCTGCGCTACGAACCCGGCGACCCCAAGTTCCGT